CTGTTCACTTTAGCTTAATTTCAGTTCAGTTCAGCTCCAATCAGTTCAGTTCAACTCCAAATTTCCTTTTCTCATAAAATATTCATTTCAACTCCAATCAATTCAGTTCAGCTCTAATCAGTTCAGTTTAATTCAGCTCAATATAGTAAGGGGTCGTTTGGTTGGGGTAATCAGGAAAGGGAATAGGAATCAATTGGCCCGATTCCCTTTGTTGATGTTTGTTTAACACTTTTATTCATTCCCTTTACCCTCCTCATTACCCCAAATCCTTCCAACTCCATTCCCCACCCCCCTAGACTTTCCCATTCCCATTCCCTTTCCCTACCCACCCTCACACCACCACATCACCACCTTCACACCTACCAACACCACCAGAAAACCAGCCCCGACGACCACCGTCGAGCCTCCCTTGACCACCGTCGAGCCTCCCCCGACCAGTACTACACCTCCCCCGACCACCTCTACACCTCTACCGCCTTCCCTCCCCTCGTAACTCTTCGCCCAGCCCCCCGAAAAACCCTAAAAACTCCCCTCCCTCCCCGTAAAACCACCAGACGAGCCTCCCAACACCCTCGAAACCCTAGGGTTTCGAGGGTGGTGAGAGGGTAGTCTAGCGGTTTTACGGGGAGGGGAGTTTTTAGGGTTTTTTCTTGTTTAAGGTAGGTTTTTCGAGGGAGGATGTGCCGTGGTGGGGCCAGCGAGGGGTGGGGGAGGGATGGCGAACGGCGGCGAGGGGCAGTGGAGGGTTGGCGAAGGGCGGCGATCGGTTTCTTGGCTGGAAAATATACAAAATTGAAATATGTGGTGGTTTTGGTGGTGGTGGTGGTGGTGGGAATGTGGGAATGATTCCCTTTGTTTTTTGTTTTTAAAACAAACACCAAAGCATAAATGAGGTATTTTTATTCCATTCTATTTCATTCTCTTTGTTCATTCCATTCCAATTACCCCGTGCGAACTAAACGGCCCCTAAATATAAACATGTCCTATGTGGACTCTGAAGCACAGGACACGCCCATCTTTTGAGCCACTTTAACACCATATAATAGTGGACAAATTAAAGCAAATAGTTAGATACATCATATACATGCAATGGACGTACCGTACATATTATATAAACTATGTTCATTAGCATTATATGCAGGCCCCATACATAAAAGGAATTGAATTATCCTACAATGATTAATTATCCTACAATATCAATAATAAAATTAGTTTATGAATCCAATTTAAAACACCTAGGGTATAACATTTTGCAGGCCAAAGCAGTCCCACCAAATTTTGGCTGCTTTACTTTTGCACTATTTTTCACCACCTTTGACCAATCTGTGGGCGCAACCTTGCATAAACTGTCCAAATTTTGGGAGTTTAATCATATATTATACCACAGATTTCTAAATTAATTAATTTAATTTATTTCTAACATGAATTTTGTAAAGATTAGCCTTTTTGTATTACAACTAATTAGAACAACAAGAATACTTAACCACCCATTTTAGTTCTTTTAGCATTTTAATTAACATTCCCAATTTGTCTTTTCTAGTTTAATTAAGCAATTTGTCAGGTACACATTATTTTTTTTATAATTTATTATGGAATCTTCATAAAGCTGAAATATAAATATATGCTCAGCTATTTGTTTAATTAGTACTTGTATAAATTTTGAGGGAGCAGGTACTGTGCAATTGCAAGTTGCTACGCTACTTGATCTATTTGTTTACTCTGTAGCAGGTTAATTTGTTTTGATCTCTTGTTAATTCCAACAATTTTGTTCAGATGTTCACTAGTGTTTACAAAAGTTTCCCTAGTCAAACCGTACTAACCTATATTTTTTATTATGTTTGTATATAATGAGTCACAAAAGACAATATGTTGACGAGATTTAATTCCAATCTAGTTCGTTCTTAGATGCCATTTTCTGGTAACTTGTTCGCCGTTTAGGATGAAGGTAGAACAAGTAAAGCTCCTAGAAGACTAGATAAAGTAAAGGGAAGACTGAGAAACACTAGCTAACTTAGCCCTAATTGATTTTCTTCGGTATAACCCTAGACATGACAATTACATTGAATTGATCTCTTACTATAGATTAATAACCTTAATTATACATGTTTAATTAGATCAAAACATACCAATAAGCTCACATAGGTAAAGTTCACGATGAATTGATTATGTTATTCAAGTACTATTGACAACTAGTTAAACGGGTCTGGGCCTGCCACACCCGTCATAACTGCCCACTTTACACGACCAAGGAGGTTTCACCTCAAAACCATATGACTATGAGAGGAGTAGCCCCAAAGCCTTATAAGGTGGACACAACTTTCTTGTTTTTTCAATGTGGGATACACTTCCCAACACTTATACACTCTTTCAAAGTGGGACAACACTTTCACTCACATATGGGATTGCTCATGGACTCATCAGAATTAGTTAATTAGTTCCAACACCAAGTACTTAGTGAAAAACTAGCTAGGTACCCATTGAATTGGAATGGAATTTGATAACTTGTTATTTGGCATGATTTTAGGGTACTTTTGAACCTTGTTTTCGTTATTAATCGACATCAAAGTTCATTTTTTATCCTATTTTTATGCAAATTTTGTACCATCCATGCTTCACCGGTTGTTTGTGTTTTTGATGTAATGTAGCTATTTTTAGCACTATGGACATGATCAAGCATGAGTGAGCAAGGATAAGGGCAAGCTTGGTTGATAGAGCCATGGAGGAAGAAGGAGGATGCCTTAAAGGGAAATGAAAAGCTTTTGGAGAACCTTGAAAGGTCGTTTGCGTAAGCGTCAACTTCAACCAACCATAACTTTTGATCTTATCAACCTTTTGAAACGATTCAAATTGGAGATTAAAGTTCGTCTCAAGAGCTTTCCAACGACTGGTCACAAGTCCATTTCCGACAAGAAACGTAGAAGTTACAGCTTCCCAAAGTTAAGCAGTCTAGGCAGGGCATCCTGCACGGACGTGCAAGATGATAGCACGTCCGTGCAAGTCTGCACGTCCGTGCCAAAAGCTGCACGTCCGTGCAGACCTTGGCAGAAGCTTCTGCCTCCATTCTGCCCCCTCTGCACGTCCGTGCCAAACTTGGCACGGCCGTGCTTAGCCTTGCACGTCCGTGCCAAATCTGGCACGTCCGTGCAGACCTGCAGTCGAACTCCTTCCTTGTTTTCTCCGTCCTTTTTATTTGGGGGTCATATAAATACCCCTTTAGAGCTCATTTGTACGGGGGAGGCAGTTTTTCAGAGCTTTTCTCTTAGTTTGTAGTCTTAGAACATTAAATTTTCAAATCATTAGTTAGTTCTCAATTATTAGCTTGGAATTATTCAAATTCAATCATTGTAGAAGACAAAATCCACCATTGTTGCTCACCTTGAAGCTTCATAGTAACCATTTCTTACTCATCTTTTCTACTTCTCATTACTTTGTTGTTAATTATTTGCTAGTTCTTGCATGTTTTGGATTGTTAATTAGCTTAATCCTTAGTTTGAATTTGTTCATGAATTGCTTGAAATCTTTAATTGCTTTAACCCCCATGGATTGTGAGTAGTCTAAATTCTAGGGTTTGGGCAAAACCCTCAATGTAGTCACTAATTACTTGTTGCATGTGCTAATTTGGTTGTTGTGGGATGTTAATTAGTTGAGCTTAAGTGGTTTAATTGCTTAGTTCTTGTATATGGCCATTGCTAGAACTATTTATCCAAGCTTTCTCAACGAAGGATCGAGAGATGAACTTGAGTTAGCTCCCTTATGCTTGATTGACCCGAAATGCCATGAGAATAGGGATTACCGGTCAAGGGAATGTTTATGTCATCGTGATTATGCTTTAACACTTGTTTTATGCTATGTAACCACGAGAGTAGGTCGTATTCATGATTCAAGTAATCCCTCTAGCTTGAGAGAGTAGTTGGGTGCTTTAGATGACTTCCCCTAATTTATCCCATTAATTTACCTTGATTGTTGCATGCTAATTGTGATTTGTGATGAAGTTGAGTGGTATAACCCAAGCCCTAGATTCCTCTTAATATTGTTAACCTCCTCTTAGCTTAGTTGAATTGTGTTAGAAGAAGTTACTAAAAACCAACCCAATTTAGAATTCGTTTAGCTTATTTAAACGGTAGTACTCGGTGGTTGATTCAACGCCTCTCTTGGGTTCGACCCTTTCTTACCCTTACTATTGTTAGTGAGACCAAGATAGGAATTATTATCTTTGGTAGGCTCGACGACGGCCTATCAGAATTGTCTATTTGTTTTTATAAAATTGAATAAAGTAACCAATATATGTATAAAACAAATTATTATTTTTTTACTTATTTCATACTCACTCCGTTTTTTATAAATGTATCACTTTGACTTTTGTACTATTCATGTAACACAGTTGACTTAATTTTTTCATCTCTGATCTATACAATAAATAAATGTTATTATACTAATATATCATTAGATTAGTCATAATGTCTAGTTTCATCTTATAATTTTTACTAATAGACAATTAAAGATATTAATGGTCAAAGTTGTGTTTCGACAAATATGTAGATCAAATTGATGCTAAGAAACAGAGGGGGTATTATTTTAATTGGATTTTTTTGACCAGATATCCGCTGTATTTGGTCTAACAAATTATGATGAAATTCAAGTGAATAAAACATATACACTAGGAAAAAAAAATTGTCTTGACAATACCAAAAATATCCTTCCAACAATGAACCAATCAAATCCTACACACTTAATCACTCACTAATCTTTCTTATTATACAACACTAATGAAGTCTATTTTACCCTTTATTTGTAAAAAATAAAATGATAAAAAAAAAAAAAAAAAAACAACCAGCCAAATATTTTCACGTGCAATATATGCTGTAGAACATTAAGGGGCCTATAAAACCCCCAAAATGTTTCTAAAGAAAGCACAAAAAAATTAACTTTGATACATTATCTTCCTTAGTCTAGCTTGATAGCCATCCCACTTCCTTTTGTTGCCCAAAAATAGAGAAAAAATAAAAAGAAAAAGAAAAAAAAGAAAGAGCTTGCTTTGCATTTGGTGGGGCGACCCAATTTAATAGCGATGGCACTAGAAGCAGCCGTTTATCAACAAGACCTTTTTAGCCATATTAATGGCAACAAAGATTTCTACCCTTTATTATTAGAACCTTGGTTTGATAATAATAACAATATTACCAATATTAATTACAATAATAATAATGATACTTTATTTTCTTATGATCGTAACAATATTAATGATAGTTGTTACTTAGTTGAGAATAATAGTAATAATAATGATGCTAATCAAGTAGATTTTGATTGGCATTCTTATTATTATTCTCATCATAATGATGATGGTGTTATTCCTCCTACTTGTAGTGTTGTTAGTGATTTACCACCCTTGAATAGCTATGATCATGAGTGTTGGAGGTTGGCTAACTCCTCATCCCCCGACAAAGAGCGCGAGCCAAAGGTGGTGGAGGGCTATGATGATGGTGTTGCTATGGAGATGTTGATGAGGCCGAAGCAACGACGTCGTGCTAGAGCTAAGAAGAACCAAGAGGAGATTGAGAATCAAAGGATGACTCACATTGCTGTTGAGAGGAATAGAAGGAAGCAGATGAATGAGTACTTGAATGTGCTTAGATCTTTGATGCCTGAGTCTTTTGTTCAAAGGGTATGTATTGTCTTGTTCTTTCTTCTATTTTCTCTTAGTTTTATCTTCTAATTCTATATACATTATTATTATTATTTTTATGTACACTATGACATCTTAGCTCATGAGGCTTGTCCCTAGGAGAATGGAAGGTCAATTATGTGTAGCCTTTTGTGTACAAAAAGCTACCGCCTTTAATAATTGTCACGTCACTAGTAAAATTCTTGTTATTTTCATGGTGAAAAATATTTTTAAACATAGATAATAATTTAATGTTGTGTATGTGAGATGAGCGAGGTTGATTATTACAGAATAATCTGAATTAAATGTGTGATGATAAATGAATAATTTCTCTCCTAGATGTACAATAGAAAAGCCAAATATCTTGATCAGTATACTCTATTAAGTAGCTAAATTGAAGTATGTATCCTGTCTTACCCTTTATAGTCAACCCGATATTAGTTCTTACAATGGGAGCAATTATGTTTTCTAAAAAAAAATAAAAATAAAAAATAAATAGACCAAGTTTATCCAAATTTTGAGAGGGAAATGGTTGCTTACTTTTGATCTCCCAAAAATAAAGAGGAAAACTTTTATAGACAAGTTTTTTAAATTTGAATTTGATTTCACCCTCATTTCATAGAAACTTGGATCCTAGCTTATCCATTATTAATAAGTTCATGCTAGTTTATATACTTCTTGCATAATCTTGTATCAAACTAAAAAATATATCTTAATCAATTTTTTACTTTATAATTTTTACAAGACATTCACTTTATTATATTTATTTATTTTTTTTAAAAAAGAGGAGCTTTTATGTGGAAATGCAATGCTAAATCTTCATAAGGGGAATTGATCCCAAAAACTATGCTCTTGTGAAGTCATGATCAAAAGTGCCAAAATCAAATTTTGAATCCAAAATTAAATTATCAATTTCACTTATATATGTAATTAAGGCAAGGAGATCTCTAGCTCTTCCTAAAATGGATCAATTTGAACAAAACTATTTTGAAAAAAAAAAGGCAAGCAATGTGTAAGCCAGTAAAAAGTAAAAGCTAACTTTGCTTTTACTTTTCATTTTACATATTAAAGGGAGACCAAGCTTCAATAGTTGGAGCAGCAATCAACTTTGTAAAGGAGCTTGAACATAACGTACAAAATTTGAGTGCAAAGAAGCAAATGAAAGAGAATCTCGAATCAAACGGTAACTCATCATCAAGCTCTACAACAATGCCCTTTGGAGAGTTCTTCACTTTTCCACAATTTTCTAGCAATAGCAATCTTGATAATGAAGATCAAACAAAGGCTAGCGGCGCAACAAGCCCTCAACAACTTGATCATGCTAGTGTTCGAGGTAGTACTAGTAGTGGTGGGCTAGCCGCGGATGTAGAGGTTACAATGGTTGAGAGCCACGCACATCTTAAGATAAGGTTAAGGCGCCCGCCTAAGCAGCTATCTAAGCTTGTGTCTGGCTTGCATAGTTTGAGGTTGTCCGTCCTACATCTTAATGTTAACACTGCTGATGATGGAGTTGTCCTTTACTCTTTTAGTCTCAAGGTTTGTGAATTCTGAAACTATCTTAATTCAATTCCTTAATTAGCTTGGATTGTTATCATTTTCGCTTGAATAATATACTTAGCATTAAATGTAGTCATGTCGTGTTACTCTTGCATATGATATGATTTATGTTAAATCTTTAGTTAAATATATGTGTGACTGACTGACTAATTAACTGTAACGTGTCAGATACATGACATTCCTACATATAGATAATTTCATTAGGTAAATATCTTTAATCTTTAATAAAATTTGTTTAAAATGGATAGAGATTATTATCTAAAGATGGATTCGTTGTGGATGTGATGCATGTAATTAAGTTTAAGTAGCTATTATTAAGGACTACAAATGTACAAAATTAAGTGAAATAGCATACTAGGCTAATTTAAAATTATCGATAAAATATGTGCTAATATAGATGTTTAATAATTATCTCACATAAGTTATTATATATGATTTCAGGTAGAAGATGAGAGCAAGCTAAACTCCGTGGATGAAATTGCAAGAGAAGTGTACCAATTACTAGGTAGGATTCAAGAATGAAGAGACTAGCTAGCTAAATTTTTTTTCCCTTTTTTTAATTTTATTTGTAACTGTTGATTAATTAGTCTTTATTTTTGTGTTTCTTTATATAAACCAGTACTCTTATTAGCTGGCTGTCCAATTATATTTCTCCAACCAATCTAAACATTTTAATCTTTTTTCTTGTGATTAATCATGTACTAGCTAGCTACTCCGTAGTATAATGTTTGTACTTCCCAATTGCAATATGTGGCTAATTTTATGGTCGCATTTTGTCATTTATAAGCAAGAAATTAAAGCATGTCTCTCATTATTTTGCTAGAAGTTATAGATTTTGTAAATAAACTAAATTGCTTCATTAGTTTTCCCTCTCGATCTCTCATAATTGTGACAATTGAATTTAGGTTATTACATTTATTTAATAGTAGGATTTACACCTTTTTTTTTTTTTTTTTTTGAAATATAGGATTTACACTTTTTTTTTTAAAAAAAAAATTGAGGTTATGTCATAATCTATATATATTAATCCCTCTGTCTCTAATTGATAAATTTAAATCTTATGAGTGTTTAATTGAAAGAGATGTTTAATTTAAAAAAAAAAAAAACTAATTTATGGAAGTTGCTTGAACGAGTTTCTTTGGAATACATGTTTGTGAATGTAAAATATAGAACGTAAAATGACTTCAATTTATTCTACCCTAAACTTGGTCAAATTTACTTTTATCATTTACTACTCCCATCTTTTCTACCAATATATTATTCCAATATTATCAACGGTCATTTTAATTACTCAATAGATTAGTAGATAACAATAAAAAATATATACTAAACACTTTAATTCATTTTAAAAAAATACCTATTATAATAGTTTGATATCCAATTTAATACATCCAATTAATAATGGCTAACAATTAATAGCTAATTGATCATCCAACTAGCCACTAACTCTTTAATTCCCTAACAGAATCTATATCTTCTCAAATTAATCAACAAAATTTTCAATTTCCATCAAGAAAATAGAGATAGATCGAATTATTTGAGTGGTATAAATCTATCACAATAATATATACCAAGTTATGGAAGGAAAGAATAAATAAAATTATGGGAGAAAGGGGAAAAAAAAACTTATGATGCAAACAATTTTTGTGAAGAGTAGGAATGAGATCATATATGAGGTTGGTATGACATGAAAGACCAATAAAAGAAATAAATTAGAGATTCCCAAATGAGCACTAATAACAACAAAGACAAGTCTTGTTTCTAACTTTTTTAGGCAACAACGTAAACATACTTACATTTTTCATAAAGTTTGTAAAAACTTAAGGAAATTCCTCTAAATTATTTAATATTCCATCATTCCATGGTCCCCAAAAAATATATCTTTATCGTTCATATATTATACAATATATTATGCCCTATATAAATAAATACAAGTCAGAAAAAATAATGGATTGAATCTTTGTTAGAAGAAATTGGTGGTTGTTGGTAGAAAGAAAGTGAGTAACTTTGTTGGTACGAGTAGTTTGTTATAGCAGTTGGTGTACCCCTTTACGTCTACAATTACATTATTGGAGATTTTGAGTTGTATATGTCACTCTTCCATCACTAAACAATAGCTTTAATTAGATGGGTCATGAGGCAAAATATTATAAGACATACATCGTCTTTCTAACTTCTAATCATCAATCATTCGATCATTTCATGTAAGATAACGTTTTCCTTAATTGATGATGAAGATTCTATAAGTATTCAAAAAATTGTGGGTCGATAATTTTATCTAGTGATTTAATTTTGTAAAGAAATGAGCATGTAATATGGCTAACAATGATACATACTACACTTTCTACATTTGTCGTTTCTTTTTATTATGTATTCTTTAATGTGTTCATCTTGAGTTAAGTGCAAGTAGTAATCATAAAGATAACATAGCATATTTTGTTCATATAAAAATAAAGTGTTTTATTTTTTAAATTATCCTAGCAAGATGTAAATCAATCAAAGAAATCATTTTTAATAGAGAAAAAAAAACCTCCAAAGTACATACATGAGTCATCAAAATCTATCCAAAGTAGAGCTGTCAATTCGGGTAAATGGGTCGGGTTTGAGTCGGGTTAGTGTGGGTCGGGTCATCTCGGGTCGGGTCAATACGGGTTAATGTCGGGACCTATGCGGGTCGAGTTCGGGTTGGGTCATGCTTGAGTCGGGTCACGTCGGGTCATACATCTTATCGGGTTTGGGTCGGGTTTAGGTCGGGTTGCATTCGGGTCGGGTTTAGGTCGGGTTGCATTCGGGTCGGGTGAAAAACAGGTCGGGTTACATTCGGGTTTTTACGGGTTTAAACGAGTTAGGGTTCTGTTCGGGTTCGAGTCGGGTTCGGTTCAAGTCAATTATTTACGGGTTATAATCAGGTCGGGTCATTATCGGGTTCGAGTCGGGTTCGGTTCAAGTCAATAATTTGCGGGTTATAATCAAGTCGGTTCATATTCAAGTCGGGTCATTCTCGGGTTCGAGTCGGGTTCGGTTCAAGTCAATAAATTTTTAATTTTTTTTTTAAAGCTCCAAATAAAATTGCATAATTTAAAACATTTAAAAATATATTAAAATAAACAAGTGAATACTAACATTTGAAAAAAATATATAAGTAGTTATATGGAAGTTTATTTAAGGGTTATAATCTTATGTATTTGTTAACGTCGAATCTCTATTGTAGATGTCGTATGACTTTTAATTAATGAAATGTTTTTTCTATTCAAAAAAAAAAGTTTATTTATAAGATAAATTTAGAAGAAAAAAAAATACATTTGGCTGATTTAATTAGACAAAATCACTATCTTTCAAAAAAAAAAAATTAGACAAAATTCACTCACCTCATGTTGCCTCAAATACGTTTAAAATGCATTGATAGCTCATAGAGTCACAACTCTATTCTAATACTCTATCACCTCATGTCCTCATATAGCTCATTGCTCATATAGGAAGTTGAAGATAATTAGGAAAAATAAAATCAATCACAATAGAGATTTCATGGTGGAAAATTTCGTCAATCTCGCCATTAGAGTGCAACCTTCCTTAATATACGAAGATTCAGTCTTTTTTTTTTTTTTTTTTTTGTGGCTGTTGTCCAGTTCAGTTTTTCTTTGACGAGGATTATGTAAGAGATAAGTCAAGTAAGATGAGAAAGGCCACTTTTGTTTCATAATTGAAATCCATGTTAATAAATTGAAAAAAAGCCTGAAACTCAATAGTCAATACGGAGTACTCTTTTTATCCTAAAAACTCCTAAATCCTAAAATTCGGGTTAGTAATAGGTCGAGTTTAAATTCGGATTAGGTCAATAAGAAGTCGGGTTGAATTTGGGTCGGGTCAATAACAAGTCGGGTTGCAAGCCTCAGGTCGGGTTTAAATTCGAGTCGGGTTAGGAACGGGTCGGGTTGACCTCGGGTCGGGTTAGTAACCAGTCGGGTTGAATTCGGGTTTTGACGAGTTAAATCGAGTTTGGGTCATTCTCGGGTTCGGTTCAGGTCAATAATTTACGGGTCACATTCGGGTCGGGTCCTCTCTAGGTCGGGTCATGGTCGGGTTCGGGTCTCAAATACTCGGGTCAACTCGGGTCTAGGGTTGGTTTTAGGTCGGGTTAGGTCGGGTTTGGGTCACCATTTTTTCGGGTTCAGACGAGTTAGGGTTAGGGTTGGGTTAGGGTCGGTATTTCGGGTCGGGTCAGCTTTTGACAGCTCTAATCCAAAGTACATGAGCAGCTTTAAGCGAAAGCTTCTTACATAGGAATATCTAATTTCTTTTGTGGCGTTTTTATACGTAACGTACTATTAATGTCAGGAAAACCATGCATATAATTACAATCTATGATCTGAATTTACAAATGAAAAAGTAAACATTATTGTAAAAATGAAAAAAAAAAAAAAAAAAAAAAAAAAAAAAAGTAACATGCATGGCAAAGGTAAATATGTCTTTTTGAATAATTAGGTACCTAGATGAAATTGAATTGACCAAAACCAAAAAAAGAAAAATTGATTTCAAATAAAAACATCGCTTATAGTTTGAATACAATTATTATTGGACCCATGAAAAGTAGTAAAGGTTCTTAGACATATTCCATGTCGCATCACCAAGTGAAAGTGATGAGGGATTGAATGGCATGGACCAATTAATGTGTGGTTTCGTTATATTGTCTTTGGCATAACGTATTGCTAATATTATTTGTTGTGACGGAAAGATTTTTCCATAGAACAACGAAGTTACTTCTATTTTGTAATATTTCTTCTTTGTAAATATGATTAAGTTTAGAAGATTGCATAATCAAAATTGAGTTCTTAAATGGTTATTGCAATATGTGTGAGAAATGTGTACGGACTTAGGACATGTTCTTTTTTATTGAACTGAGCTGAGCTGAACTGAATTGAGCTAAACTGAACTGAAATGAACTGAATATTTTATAAGAGGAGGAAATTAGGAGTTGAACTGAACTGAACTGAGCTGAGTTGAACTGAACTGAACTGAATTTCAACGTATGAGAACATGTATACTACTAAGAATTAGACATGGGTTAGGCACTTAGGCACCATAAGAAAAGATGGTCCAATTTGGCATGAGTCCAACACAAGAGAGAAGCCAAACGTGCAGCGTGACACATATACTTTCTTATGAACGTTTTTTAATACAAACTATATAAAATAAATGTTTCAATAATACTTGATACATACATACTCTTTAATCCCTAAGCCATTGTCTCAAAATACATGGATGGAGCAAAATTACTTTTAAGATTGGTTTAAAACCTAAAAATACAAAAATGTTATCGTCATACTAAAGATGGGGATCGGGACTAGATATATATATATATTTAGAAGTAAGGGTAAATAAATAATATTCTAAAAGGCGAATCTTACTTTATATGTATAGTAGCAAGTATTTGTAAATAGATAAAGTATTTCCATCATGCATAAAGCCAATCGTCTTCATTTCAAATAAAGTGAATATTCATTAATTTGGAGCTCTCTACAACTTGATTTCACCATGTCAATCGACTAACATTTTGATAAGCCCGATCTTTAATTGTTCCTATGAGATAAGAAGAAAACACAATAAACAACAAAACAAAACAAAACAACATTTATCATAATTTATATTGCAAAGCAACAAGTCTTATTATTATAAAAAGAGTATGTACGTAAAACTACATGCTAGATGATCATGTGTTTTACGAGAAGATTCGTGTCATAGTTTATGAAATTAAGATTGATTCTCATAAATACTTAAAGTTTTTAACATGAACATTATATAAATGCATTATTGGAACAGGTAGGTCTAAATTTGCATAGGCGA